GCGAACGAGCCCGTGCAACCACCCCTGGCGGCTCCCCTTAGGGGTGCTGAAACCAGCGCCCCGCCTGAGACATCCTCACAATCTGCTCTCCAAGCGAAGGATGTTGAGCCCAGAAACAAGCAAACCGCTTGAGACATCCCCACAAAATGGCCGCGAACGAGCCCGTGCAACCACCCCTGGCGGCTCCCCTTAGGGGTGCTGAAATGAGCGCCTCGCTCGAGACATCCTCCAAATCTGCTCCGAAAGCGAAGGATGTTGGGCACAGAAACAGGCAAACCGCCTGAGACATCCCCACACAATGGCCGCGAACGAGCCCGTGCAACCACCCCTGGCGGCTCCCCTTAGGGGTGCTGAAACCAGCGCACCGCCTGAGACATCCTCACAATCTGCTCTCCAAGCGAAGGATGTTGAGCCCAGAACCAAGCAAACCGCCTGAGACATCACCACACAATGGCCGCGAACGAGCCCGTGCAAGCACCCCTGGCGGCTCCCCTTAGGGGTGCTGAAACCAGCGCACCGCCTGAGACATCCTCGCAATCTGCTCCCCAAGCGAAGGATGTTGAGCCCAGAAACAAGCAAACCGCCTGAGACATCCCCACAACACGGCCGCGAACGAGCCCGTGCAACCACCCTTGGCGTCTCCCCTTAGGGGTGCTGAAAATGAGTATGCCTGGGTATGAGTAAGTCTGTGTATGAGTAAATCTGGGTATGAGTAGGTCTGTGCATGAGAAAATCTGTGTATGTGTACGTATGGGTATGAGTAAGTCTGAGTATGACTAATACTGTGTATGAGTAAGTCTGGGTATGGGTGAGTCTGTGTATGAGTACGTCTGGGTGTGAGTAAGTCTGTGTATGAGTAAGTCTGTGTATGAGTATGTCTGAGTGTGAGTAAGTCTGAGTATGAGTAGGTCTGAGTATGAGTCAGTCTGAGTATGAGTAAGTCTGTGTAGGAGTAAGTCTGAGCATGAGCAAGTCTGAGCATGAGTAAGTCCGACAGGCGGGGAGGAGGAACGAGGAGGAGGGAGAAGGAGAGGGAGTATGAGGTGTCCAAGTAATAACAATAACCCCATCTTATGATATGGGGAATTAATTTAAAAAACGATTCACAACGAATACAAAAACAAGCCTGTCCGCTTCTCGACCCGCACTCTGGGTAGTTGGATCTTCCACATGTGTTTCACTGATATGTCAAACTTCTGTACGGGCATACGGTTCTGCACTGGTGGCGTCGCGCCTTTCCACGCGAGGGGCCGCTTGGCGTGCTTGATCCAAGGCGAGAAAGCGCACGAGGAAGCCAAGGCCCTTCTCCTCCTCCTCCTCCTCCTCCTCCTCCTCCTCCTCCTCATTCTCCTCCTCCTCCTCCTCCTCCTCCTCCTCCTCCTCCTCCTCCTCCTCCTCCTCCTCTCCCTTGTCCTACTCTTCCCCCCCCTTCCTCGCCAGGGCGCCTTCGGAGCTGGCGGGCTGGCTTGCTGTCAATGTCGCAAGAACATAATTTCTTGTGACGTGGAGAGGATTCAATCGGACGGGTATCTTCGCCATTACAAGACGGCGATGCCAAACGAATTCGACCGCCACACGGGCGAACCTTATTGGGCAATGGTTGACCGATTGACATATTTGAAAGACACGTTGAACAAAGAGGAGTTCAAAAAGAAACAGCAAAGCTTCGGTTTGCATTACGATCCGTCATCGCTGGTGTTCGACAACACATTGCGCGAACTTTTTTTCTTGTCTCGAGCTGTTACTGGGATTGGATGCACGAGCTCCTTACCGCGGGCGGTGTTTTGCAGTTTCAGGTGAACGAGTTCTTGCTGGACATGGTGGACTACGGGATCGACGCGGCCGACCTGGACCGAACGTTGCAGTCGTTCGTCGCCGAGAACAACACTCGCTGCAGGTCCCTCGGAACTCGTTTCTTCGCGACAAGAATGTCGAAAACCCGAGGGCATCACATCAAGGCGCTTGCTGGGGAGATGTTGACGGTCGTCTGCTTTTCGTCCTAGCCACTTGGCTCGCCGCCTGCCCGTCGAAACCCCCAAGCCGCGGCATAAAGTTTGCAGTGTCTTGGGGCTGCCAGGTCGGAGGCGCCTTGGCCCGCAGGCGCGGGCAGCTGATTATTGTAAATATATGTTGGATCCGAGGAGTGTCTTGCCACGGCAGAGTGAGTGCATGCAGCTCGCTGGTCGGATTTGCCATATATTGGAAAGTGGTGAAACTGCCGTAGCTCGCGTAGATACGTTGAAAGTTTTGTTCGAGCAACGCCACATATTGATGTTGGAGCTGTGGAGTTTGGATCGCGCGAAGGTGAAGGGCCATCTACAACATCATATACCAGACTGTCTGGAATTATTCGGGCACAACCTGTTGTTTCAACAATGAGCGCAGGAACAGATTGGTCAAGAAAGGGTGTGTGTTTTATGTAAAGATGGAGAATCCGTCTCTGCCGATTTTGGTCCGCATTTTAATCGATTTGGAAGCCCGCACGAAGGGGGGGCCCTTCACCGCGAACCGATTGGCGTCGGCGGTCAAGCATGCACCTGAATTGCTGCATCCTTTAACAGAGCTGGGCTTTGGGCAGCCCGCTAATGTTTTCATGGCGAAGCGCATGGAAGTGGGCATGCAGAAGTTGTCCCCGTCAGATTTGGCGCATGTGCAATATCCGACAGGGCAGCGCAAACACGGCCTAGTGGTGGCATTCGTGGACGCTCATTGGTTGGAAGGCCCTATTCGTCAAGCGTATTTCGCTGTTTTGCGTGTGCTTGCCGCAGACGGCGAGTTGCTGGCGCCAGCCGCGGTGCATGAGCTGGCGCAGGTGTCTTGGATTACAAGTGTTCACTGGAAGAGCAGGGTCGGTGATAAATGCCGCTTGGTTGCCCGCCCGAGCTGATGCAAAACATACCTTCTCCTCCTCCCCCTCCTCCTCCCTCCTCCCCCTCCTCAGTAGCTCCTCCTCCCTCCGCAGGCGAGCCTCGCGGGGCCTCGATGGGCGCGTTCTGATTTTTTGAATTTCGAAGCGAATCCAGCCGAGGCGACGACGGAATCCGAGAAAGTAGATCGGCCTCCCCCCAGGTAGGGCCCCACCGGAATTGCAGGGCGCGTTCTGATTCTCTGGAATTTCGAAGCGAATCCAGCCGAGGCGGCGATGGAACCCCAGAGTAGGTCGGCCTTGACGTCCGGCTCGGCATCCAGAGTCCTGCGGGGCAGGCCGCGCGTGGCGGCGGCGCGGTTCGGGGGGGGTGGACGCGGGGAGGCGAACGGAGGATGGGCGAAGGGAGGGCGAAGAGAAGGAGGGGGAGGAGGAGAAGAAGGAGGAGGAGCATTTCTGTTGTTTTTGATTTTTTGTTTTCTTTGCTCCCAGTGGCCGCTTGGCCCCTGGGAGGTTCGTCCTGGGGGCCGAACCGTGGGAGGGGGCGGAGGAAAGAGAATGAGGAGGGGCGGAGAAACGAGGAGGGGGGGAAGGGGGGGTCGGCAGAGAAGCTGCAGCATTTTGAAGTTCAAAAATGCATCCCCAAAGGGAGTTTGATTTTGGGCCAGAGTCCCTTGGCCCCGTCGCTGCGACGAAGGAGCCTCTTCCATGCGGCACGCTAACGAGCGCGCAGGCGGCGAAGATCTTGGCGGACCACAAGGTGAAGGTCACCGTGCGTGATCGTGGGCGCGGCGGCGGCAGGGACTTGCAGTGCGCCGGCCGCTCGGGGAACCTGGCGTCGGCGAGGTTGGCGGCGCTCGAGGTCATCGAAGCCAACGGCCGAGCTGGTGGCAGGAAGGCGCCCTTGGACCAGCACGTGCAGCGGGTGGCGGACAGGGCGTGCCAGGCGTCGCTCAAGCGGCAGAAATCACCGCAGACACAGCTGCAGGTGGACGTGCCGCCCTGGGATAGCTGGGCCGAGGAGTGCGGGGTGCCGCCGCGGGCGCACGTGCAGGTGGAGGCGTCGCCCTTGGACAACTGGGCCGAGCGCAAGCAGCACGAGCAGCATGCGCACGAGGTGGTGGGCTCCGACACGATATGGGCTTCAGGACCGCCCGCCGCCTGCCATTGCGGGGCGGGGGGGGGGGGGGCGAGGAGAGGGAGAGGGAGGAGAGGGGGGGGAGGAGGAGGAAGGGGAGGAGGAAAAGCAGGAGGTTCCTCACTCTTCCTCCTCCTCCTCCTCTTCCCTCCTCCTCCTTGGGGTAGTCTTGAGGTCCGATGAACAGCGGTGGGGCACGTCTAGCACCGAGACGGGCCATGAGTGCCCCAAGAGACCCCCAAGGAGGCCCAAGAGGGCTCCGAATCACCGAACGATCGGCATCCAGGGCACCCCCTCCCCCCACGGACCCCCCACGGACAACGCAAAAAATGGCAACCCCACACGAAAAAATGTTGTCGAAATGGGGCGGCGCGAGAACACAGCAACATTATTTTCATGTGTTTTCAAGGAGGAATGCAGCAGCGAGGGGAGGGGGGGGCGGCAGCGTCAGGGAGGCGATTGCGCGCCGTCCTCCGCCCTCGCAGGACGGGTTCCCCTTGCAGACGAACAACGCGGAGCTCGCTGCCAGGCGGGCGGGAAGGCGCGCCGCTCGCCGCCGCTGCCTGCCCTCTCGCAACATCTCATCCTCGCCCTCCCCCCCCCTCCTCTCGTCCCTGACCCTCCTCCCTCCTCCCTGACCCTCCTCCCTCCATGCAGCTCCTGACCCTCCTCCCTCCCCCCTCCCTCCTCCCTCCTCCATTTCCCCCCCCCCCTCCTCTCTCCCTGACCCTCCCCCCTCCTCGCTGACCCTCCTCCCTCCGTGCAGCCCCTGACCCTCCTCCTCCTCCTCCACTCTCCGACTCCACCCTTTCTCCGCCTCCACTTCCGCCCTTTTCCATCCTCCGACTCCGACCTCCCGACCTCCGCGTTCCGAAGCAATTTAGGCCTTGCGAATTCAGCGGCTCTGCCCTCTTGCTTCCAGTGGCTCTGCCCTGGATTTCGCTTGGATGTCTTGCTCGCCCGCGGCGAGCGCGAACGGCGCGCCGTCGCCGCCAGGTGGGTCACCGCTTCCAGGAGACACGGCCGCGGAGACGGCCACGGCGGAGCAGCTGGTCATCTGCGACACCTGCGGTGACGACCTCAGCGCTGTGGACGAGGGGGACTACATCACGGTGAAGGAGGGCACAGATACGCGCAAGGCCATCTGCCGTTGCAAGCCCTGCAACAACGCTCGCAAAATGGTGAATTCCATGAAGGTAGGGAACCCGTCCGACTTCCAGACGTGGGATGAGGTGGAGGACAAGAAGGCCTTCCTCGCGGAGGCCAAGTACCTCTACGGCGAGGACCTGAAGAAGAAGATGATCGAGCAGCGCAGGCAGACGAAGGCGGAGAGCGACAAGCAGACCCTCCACCAGGGGGGCAAGTACATGACTTTGTTGGAGGCCGCGGAGTTGCCCCGTTGCAAGACAGATCCAGCGAGCTTCGAGACCTTGAAGAAGCGGGCGCCGCAATTCGAGTGCGAGCTGACTGGAGCGCTGATGATCGTCGTGCCGGAGTACGCTTTCAGTCAAGATAAGTCCGTGGAAAAACACGGGAGCAGTCGCGCACCATCGGCGGCGAGAGGATCGTGCCGAAGGGAAAGGCGCTGGCCAACAAGGTGAAGCAGGAGAAGAAGGACAAGCCCGCCAGGCCGTTGCCGCAAGGGCTCGTCAACAGGGCCAACCTGTTGCGGGACAGCGTGCTCGAGAGCGCGACGCAGTTGACTCGCATCCAGATGGTGTTTTCAGACGAGTCGGCGAAGCAGTATGTGCCTGAGGCCTTGTAGGGTAAAGCAGACGACCTGATAAGGGCTTGGAGGCCGCCTACGAGAGCGGCAGGGGCGTGCTCGCGAGGAACCACATCGACGATAAGGGCCAGCTCGCGCAGATCATCGAGGAGATGAAGAAGGCGCAGGCGGCGGCTACCATGTACTACGACAAGATTTCAGGTTCGCGACGACGACGAGGACGAGAAAGGAGGAGGGGTGGAGGAAGAGGAGCAGGAGTTGGAAATGCACGGGAAAAAGGAAGATGGAGGAGGACGAGGAGGAGAAGGAGGAGGAGGATAAGGAGGAGGGATGAGGGAGAGGAGGGCCGCCACAGGTCTGCTGGAGGAGGCCCCCGAGCATCAGAGGGCGGCTTGGTTCATCGAGCTGGAGAACGGCGAAGAGGAGGCCGCGGCGGAGGACGAGACGGAGCCCGCAGATCTTGGCCAGGGAAGCCCTTTGAAGCGAGCCCTAAGTGGGGTCGAAGCGAGCCCTTCGAAGCGCAGGGTTCCGCTCGGGGCGAAGTGCATCGTGGGCGCCGCGGCCGCGAGCCAGGACAAGGACAAGAACGCGGACAAGGGCAAGGGCGCGACGAGCAAGGGCAAGGGCGATAGCGGCGCGAGGCGCGCCGCTGCGCCGAAGACCAAGGGCCGCGGGAAAGGCAAGGGCAAGGGCCGCGGGAAGGGCAAGGCGAAGGCCCAGGCGAAGCCCAAGCTGTGAGAGCCTGAGGCAGTAGGGGGCGCGTCCCCCTCCCATCCTCTTCCACATTCCTCGTTCTCCTCCACAACCATGGTCCTCCCGATGCTCCTTATCTTCCTCCTCCTTGTTCGGAGAAGGAGGGGGGCCGTTTTTAGCTCCCCAGGGGGGTCAGGGCCTAAATCGGTTTCGTTTTAGCGTCTGACCCCCCCCCCCCCCCGCGGGCTAAATTCTGCAACGCTCCGTGGCGCGGATCTCCCCCCCCTCCTCCTCCTCCTCCTCCTCCTCCCCCTCCTCCTCCTCGTCTTTCCTTTTCTGTTTCAGGTGCCCGAATCACTCGCCCCTCGGGGCACCTCCGCGCGGAGGTGCGCGCTCATTTGCCTCCGGATGACAGAGGCGTAGGCGAGTCGAAGATAGAGGAGGAGGGATGGGAGAGGGGGCGAGGGCGAGGAGGAGGAGGAGAGTGAGGATGAGGAGGAGAAGGAGGAAGAGAAGGAGGATGAGGAGGGTGGTACCTGGTGGTACCTCGGGTGGCACCTCCAGGTGCGTGTGGGGTGATACCTGGTGGTGCCTCGGGTGGTACCTCCACGGGCGTGTGGGGTGATACCCTCCACGCCGAGGGTGGTGCCTGCTTTTCGTGTGGGTGATACCTCCATGTGCGTGTGGGGTGGTACCTCCAGGGCGTGTGGGTGAAACCTCCAGGGCGCGTTGGGGCGATACCTCGGGTGGTACCCCCAGGGGCGTGTGGGGTGACAACTGAGGTGGTATCGTCGTCGTCGTCGGTCGTCGGTCGTAGGTCGTCGGTCGTCGGTCGTCAGTCGTCGGTCGTCGTCGGTCGTCGGTCGTCGGCCGTCGGTCGTCGGTCGTCGGTCGTCGGTCGTCGGTCGTCGGTCGTCGTCGTCAGTCGGCGGTCGTCGATCGTCGGTCGTCGGTCATCGCCGACGCCGCCGCCGTCGTCATCGCCGCCGCCGTCGCCGTCGCGGCCGCCGTCGGTCGTCGCCGACGTTGTCGCTGCCGCCGTCGCCTTGGCCGTCGCCTCCGATGCTGCCGCCGCCGTCTCCGTCGCCGTCGTCGCGCCACCCTTGCCAATCCCCGCGCGCCCCCCCCCTCCCCCCTCGCGCCCGCAGGCCAGGCTGCACAAGCAGATTGGCAACAACTGCGGCGACAGCAGGGACCATGGCGATGAAGGCGCGCGCCGCCCAGATGATGGAGGGCGGGCGCGGAGGATGAGGGGGGGGGGGAAGAGGAGGAGGAGGAGCGGTAGGGAGGCAGATGCCTCTCTACCATTAACCTTTTTTTTTCGTAAACTCCCAGGGGAAGGTTGGCCCCTGGGAGGTTCGCCCTGGGGCCTGGGGACCAAACCATAGGAGGGGGAGTAGGAAAGAGGAGGAGAAGGAAGAAGAGGAAGAGGCCTGCTCCGCCCCTCCTCCCGTCCCTGACCCTCCCCCCTCCTCCCTGACCTTCCTCCCTCCATGCAGATCCTGACCCTCGTCCTTCCTCCCTCCCTCCACCCTACTCCCTCGTTCCTCCTCGTCTCTCCCTGACCCTTCTCCCTCCATGCCACTCCAGACCCTCCTCCCTCCGTCCTCCCTCCTCCCTCGCCCCTCGCCCGTCCTCGTCGCGGCCGCCGTCGCCTTGGCCGTCGCCTGTGGACGTCGCCGCTGCCGCTGCTGTCGCCGTCGCCTTGGCCGTCGTCGCGCCACCCTCCTGCCGCCCCTGACCCTCCGCACTCCTCCCTGACCCTCTTCCCGTTATACAGCTCGTCGTCGCGCCTCCTGCTCCTCCTCGTTCTCCTCCGCCGCCGTCGTTTTGGCTCGTCTGACCAGCCATCGAGGTGAGGCTCGCCCACCCTCTCATACGCGAGGCTCGCCCAACGTCGCCCCCCTCGTCTCCAGCGATGGCGGCGCCCGCATCGCCCACCGTCGCGAAGGCGGCGCCCGCGTCGCCCGCGTCGCTTGGCCAGAGGCTCGGGAGGGCCTGAATCGGCGCTGAATGGTTCAGGCCACAATCGCTTTGAACGGCCAAAATCGACGTCGTAGATGTCGTGGCCGTCGTCGTCGCCGTTCGTCGTCGCCGCCGTAGTCGTCGTCGTTCGTCGTCGCCGTCGTCGTCGTCGTCGTCGTCGTTCGTCGTCGCCGTCGTCGTCGCCATTTTTTTGTTTAGTTATCGTGGCCTGAACCACTCAGCGCCGAGTCAAGCCCTCTCTCCCAGGGAGTGGTGCCCCAGCACGCCGCAGTCTCTGAAGGGTCCCCCTGGAGGCACGGCCAGGCCGATTCCGCCGACTCCAGGCAGCCCGTCGCCGCGGACGCCTGCGCTCTCGCCGCGGACGCCGCTCGGCATCCTGACGGCGTTCTCGCCGCGAACGCCGTCTGGCGTCAGGCCGTTCAGCCCGCGGACGCCGCTCGGCACCATGCGGTTCGCGCCGCGAACGCCCTGGTTGCTCTTGGCTGGCGCGCCGCCGGGGCCGCCGCCGCCGACGCCGTGCGGCACGCCGCCAGGCACGCCGCCGCCGACGCCCCAGGCCGAGCTCACGCCGCCGCAGCGGCGCCGCCTGCGCCGCAGCGAGACGACCTCGGGCCCCCCCACCACCCCGCCCGCCAAGGTCGCCGCCACCACGCCCGCGAGCAGCGCGAAGATCGAGGACAAGACCAAGGCCTTCAAGGGCAAGAGCAAGAACAAGGGCAAGGACCAGAGCTCCAAGGACAAGAGCAAAGTCTTCAAGGGCAAGGGCACGAGCAAGGGCAAGGCCTTCAAGGGCAAGGGCAGCACGGAGAAGATCAAGCGGAAGGCCGAGAGCAAGTGCGTCAAAGGCAAGGCCAAGAGCACGCACTTCAAGGTCACGGGGGCGACATTCGCGCGCTGCACCTAGACGGGGGCGTTCGCTCGAGCGCCAGGGGCGACTGGGAAGCGCCAGTCCGACGTTTGAAAAAATGAAGGGGGGGGGGGAGGGAGATGGGAAGGGATGTGGAGAGATAGGGAGGGATAGGAAGGGATGGGGTGACGGATGGGGGAAGGGACGGGGGAGGGGGGAGATGGGGGTGGACAGGGGAGGGCTTGGGATGGAGGGCCCCGCCCTCCGAGGGAGGACGAAGAGGAGGAGGGGGAGGAGGAGGGGGAGGAGGAGAAGGAGGAGGAGGATGAGGATTTTTTCATATAAACAATGTAGTTGTTGGTTTCCCTGCTTCCAGGGGCCGCTTGGCCCCTGGGAGGTTTGTCCTGGTGGCCAAACCATAGGAGGGGGAGGGGGAAAGAGAAGGAGGAAGCGGAGGAGAGGAGGAAGAGGAAGAGGCCTGCTCCTCCCCTCCTTCCGTCCCTGACCCTCCCCCCCCCCTCCTCCCTGGCCCTCCTCCCTCCGTGCAGCTCCTGGCCCGCCTCCCTCCCTCCTCCCTCCTCCCTCCTCCCTCGTCGTCTCTCCCTAACCCTCCTCCCTCCTTGAATCCACTTGCCCTGCTCTTGGCCGCTCCCCCCGCGCCCCGCGCAGGTGCGAACGCCTCCTGGCCATCCTGGTGGCGAACGAGATCCTGCTGATTGCCTGCCGCGCGCGGGGCTGCGGGGCTGGCCGCAGCGGGAGCGGCGGTGCGACGGCATCAGCGGCGATGGCAACAGCAGTGGTGTGGCGAGACGATGACGACAGCAGTGGCGAGACGGTTGCCCCGCGCCTTGTGTAGACACAGAATGGGAAGGGTGTTTTGTCTCCAAAGAGGGGCCCAGCGCTTCTCTGGCGCGATCTGCGAGCTACAGTGCTCGGCGGCTCGCGGGCAAGAAACGGCTCGCGGCCCCTCCACCCCGTCCGAGATCTGACCCAGGGGCAGGACCCAGAGGCGCATCGGCGAGATACGGGGGATCAGATTTCGAAACGAATCAGCCGTGGCGACCATGGGGCAGGGGGGCGTGCACCCAGATGCGCCTCGGCGAGGTTCCCGAGGGTTCAGTGTTCGAAGCGAACCAGCCGTGGCGACGAGGGGAGGGGGACTTAAGGAGACTCCGAGTTAGGCCGGAGCAGCCCGACCAGCTTTAGCAAGTTTCTGGTCCTTCAACAGCACGTGGCTTTCCTTGTGGGGAGAGGACCTAAGCGAGCGGTGAAGGAAGGAGGAGGAGGAGGAGGAGGAGGAGGAGGGGGAGGAGGGGGAGGAGGAGAAGGAGAAGGGGGGACGAGGAGGAGGCTGGCAGTTCTTTTTTCCGTGCTCCCAGGGGCCGCCTGGCCCCTGGGAGGTTCGCCCTGGGGACCGAACCATAGGAGGGGGAGGAGAAGGAGGAGGAACCTTTCGGGGCAGTGTCTCAAACGGGTCTGCGGCGCCCCTCCAACCGTCCCTGACCCTCCTCCCTTCTCCCTGACCCACCTCCCTCCATGCAGCTCCTGACCTTCCTCCCTCCTCCCTCCCTCCTCCCCCCCCCCCTCCTCCCTCCCCCACCCCACCCCCCCCCCCCCCCCCCCCCCCCCCCCCCTCCTCCCTCCCTCCTCCCCCCCCCCCTCCTCCCTCCCCCCTTCATCCCACTCCTTCTCCTCCCACCCATCTTCCCCGCGCCTGCGCCCCCGCTCCTCCTCCACCTCCGCCTCTGCAGCCCTTTTGGGCTTTGGTCAGGTGTCGAGGCTCTGCCCGAATTACTACCAACCGACCGTCGCCCCGTCTCGCGCTGGGGGGGATGGCTGCAGTCAACGCGCTGGTCGACAACTGCAAGCTGATCGTCGAGCACGTCGCCGCGAGCAGGAGCATTGGGGTCGACGCCACGGCCGACGCCGAGAACATGATCTCCGACGCCGTGAGGCGCAGCGGCCCGATTACCCTCTCCGAAGCCACCGCGATCATGCAGGACATTCGCGGGGGCCAGTTCACCGTCCAGGACAAGTCCTACATTGGCGCCCTCGTGCATGGGAAGGCCGTCGGCCACCAAGTGACGACGGCCGCGAACGTGACGACGACGGCCCTGGCAGCAGCGACGCCGCCGACGACGACGGCCCTGACGACGACGACGATGACGACGACGAAGACGACAGCGATCCCGACCGCAGGTGGCCGTCGCTGGCGGCATGCCCCGCGGCGCGGGCGGTCGCGGGCGCGGAGGCGCTGGTGGAACGGAGGTCTTCAACCCAAAGTGCCCAGCCTTCCAGAATTTCATGAGCAAGGCTTTGTGGGGGTTGCACGCGGACCACGCCAAGCTGTGGAACCCAGACGCGACGAGAGCGATCGCCCACAGGTGCGACCAGCTCGGGCTCATGCGCACGTCCGAGCCAGTGCTCCGCGACATGTGCGCGATCTACCTCTGCGCCCGCACCCCGCCTGACCAGTTGCCAGAGCCAGACGGCCCCACGGCCCTGGAGCGCAAAATGGAGCTGAACACGCAGATCGTCATGCTTCGAGGTCGGTGGCGCAGGCCTCACCACGACGTCGTGGATGTGTTCCCGAACACGCCTGCCGAGCTTCACGCCAGGTTCCCAAACGTGTACCAGGCGGCCTTCTCGGCGGACCATCCTGAGTTCCCATGCCCCTTGGACGTGGTGAAGCTCAACGCGATCAAGAGCTACCTGCCGCGCAGGAGGTCGCACGGCACGTGCAGGCCGCCGCTGACGAGGCAGTCCGTGCGCAGGTCGGGGTCAGCGCTCGGCCTTCGCGCGCAGCAGGCCATCGAGTACGACGGCCCCACGGATCGGCCGTGGCAGGAGCCGAGGGCCGCGATCCAGGGCAACACGTACTACGCCTACGCGAACCAGCACCTGGCCGCGCCGCCCGCGAGCGCCCCGCCCGCAGGCGCACCGCCTGCAGGCGCCCCTCTCGCAGGCGCCCCGCCCGCAGGCGCTCCGCCTGCAGGTGCGCAGCAGCTCGCTCTCACGGACGCCGCCGTCGACGAGGAGGCGGCCGAGGCCGTGAGCGTGACAGGACGATTGGCCTCCGCCGCCCTCTCCTGATCTCCCCATCCCTCCCCTTCTTCTCCTCCTCCTCCTCCTCGTCCTAAACAAATTACTCACTGCGTGGAGCTCCCCATGTGTGCATCTCATGTTTTATGTCATGCCGTGGTGAGCGTCTGTTCATGAGCGGTCGACTACAATGGCGCGTCCACGTGGGCGACAGGGCAGACGAAGACGAGTGACCCCTACTGCGAGTGATTGCGCATGAGTCAGAGTGAGCTTTGAGTATGGTTGAATGCGAGCCTCTTCCTCTTCATCCCCCCTCCTCAGCTGCCAGGCCTTCCCCTTTTCAGCCCGTGGTAGCTTTGGAGCTTCCCACATGTGCATATGTTGTAGGATAGTTGGCAGTGGGATATGTAAGACGAGCGTTTAGCCACACAAGGCCAAAAGTGCATATCATTTTGGAGGATAGTGCCACGGTGAGCATTTCCAACGATCCCCGCACACAACCACCGCCCCCCCCCCCGCAGTCACCCCCTATGAATACATACGTATATATGTATATATATATATATATATATATATATATATGTGTCCATGTCCTGGACTTCGGAACAAACGTTCTGCTCGCGCCAAGGACCTTCGAGCAAAGCACCCTCCTCCTCCTCCTCCTCCTCCTCCTGTTCCTCCGCCCCCTCCCTTCTCCTGCTCCTGCTCCTCCTCCTCATCCTCCTGCTCCCCCTCCCCCTCCGCACCCCCATGCCCTTCCTCGCGATCCCCCGCCTCCTCCTCCTCCTCCTGTTCCTCCTCCTCATCCTCGTTCCTGTCATTTCCCTCCCTGTTGAGCCCAGAAACAAGCGAACCGCCTGAGACATCCCCACAATATTGCCGCGAACGTGCCCGTGCAACCACCCCTGGCGGCTCCCCTTAGGGGTGCTGCAACCAGCGCCCCGCCTGAGACATCCTCACAATCTGCTCTCCAAGCGAAGGATGTTGAGCCCAGAAACAAGCAAACCGCCTGAGACATCCCCACAACATGGCAGCGAACGAGCCCGTGCAACCACCCCTGGCGGCTCCCCTTAGGGGTGCTGAAACCAGCGCCCCGCCTGAGACATCCTCACAATCTGCTCTCCAAGCGAAGGATGTTGAGCACAGAAACAAGCAAACCGCCTGAGACATCCCCACAAAATGGCCGCGAACGGGCCCGTGCAACCACCCCTGGCGGCTCCCCTTAGGGGTGCTGAAACCAGCGCCCCGCCTGAGACATCCTCACAATCTGCTCTCCAAGCGAAGGATGTTGAGCCCAGAAACAAGCAAACCGCCTGAGACACCCCCACAAAATGGCCGCGAACGAGCCCGTGCAACCACCCCTGGCGGATCCCCTTAGGGGTGCTGAAACCAGCGCCCCGCCTGAGACATCCTCACAATCTGCTCTCCAAGCGAAGGATGTTGAGCCCAGAAACAAGCAAACAGCCTGAGACACCCCCACAAAATGGCAGCGAACGAGCCCGTGCAACCGCCCCTGGCGGCTCCCATTAGGGGTGCTGAAACCAGCGCCCCGCCTGAGACATCCTCACAATCTACTCTCCAAGCGAAGGATGTTGAGCCCAGAAACAAGCAAACCGCCTGAGACATCCCCACAAAATGGCCCCCGCGAAGAACGGAAAAAACGTGGCCTCGAACTGAACGAGGCCGTTGCAAACCACCCCTGGCGGCCTCCCTTAGGGGTTTTGCTGAATATTTGCTGAATATGAGTATGCCCTCTGAGTACCTCTGCTTCTCTGAGAGTATGAGTGTAAGTAAGGTCTGTGATGAGGTAAGTCTGCGTATGAGTAAGGTCTGGGTATTGATTAGGCTCTTGTGTATTGAGAAAGTCTGTGTAGTTGTACGTCCTGGGGATGAGTAAGCGTATGAGTATGGCTAATTTTAACTGTGTATGAGCAAGTCTGGGTATGAGTGAGTCTTTGTATGAGCACGTCTGGGTGTGAGTAAGTCTGTGTATGAGTAAGTCTGTGTATGAGTATGTCTGAGTGTGAGTAAGTCTGTGTATGAATAGGCCTGAGTATGAGTCAGTCTGAGTATGAGTAAGCCTGTGTAGGAGTAAGTCTGAGTATGAGCAAGCCTGAGTATGAGTAAGTCCGACCGGCGGGGAGGAGGAACGAGGAGGAGGGAGAAGGAGAGGGAGTTAGGAGGCGTCCAAGTAATAACAAGAACCCCATCTTAGGATATGGGGGAAAATCGAAACGTCCTAAACCCCTCGAACCTCGAACCCTCGCCCCTCCCCATGCCAAGAGGAGCGGGCGGCGGCAAGAAGGCGGCGCGGACTCGCTCGCGAAGATGGAGACAAGCACTGGGATGCCTGTTGCTGGGCGCCAAGGCAAGTTGCTCCCAAAGGAGGAGGGAGGGGGGGGAGGAGGAGGAGGAGGAGGAGGAGGAGGAGGAGAGGAGATCCGTTTCAAGGGGCGTTGGGAAATTAGCCGCGGCGGGGGGGTCAGAGCTAAACAAACGGTGCCGATTTAGGCCCTGACCCCCCCCCCCCCCCCCCCCCCCCCCCCCCCCACCACCCCCCCCCCCCCCCCCCCTGGGGAGCTAAACCGGCCCTCCTCCTGGAAGTTCCTCTCGCTTTCGACCCCTGGGAGTTTCTCTCGCTTTCGACGGGGGGCTAAACAGTATTAGATCCTCCCCCATCCCTCCCCCTCCCTCCCCCTCCCTCCCTCCTCCTCCTCCTCCTCCTCCTCCCCCGCTCTCCTCCTCTTCCCTTATCCTCCCCCCGCGCCCCGACGGGGGCCCGCTCGAGCGACCCCCTCGGAGCTGCGAAGATACCGCTCCGAGCACCGCCGTTCCTCCTCTTCCTCCTCCTGCCGCCCGCCTGCGTTTCGTCTAATTGTCCCCGGGGTGGCGGCGGCCAGAAGGGGCCCGCCATGCGGCGCCCCGCGGCCGCGGCCGCGGTGACCACCCCGATGAAGGCCAAGAAAGACAAGCAGGACAAGACGGGCTCTGGCGAGAAGAAGGTCAAGAAGACGGACAAGGCGAGGGTCGCGCCCGTGGCGCTCAAGAGCTTGGCGTACCCAGGGACCCCGAAGACCAACGAGGCGCCCAAGACGTGCGGGGCACTTCGTGCGTGCGTTCCGCCGCCCCCTTACGCAATGAGGATGACGACGATGATGATGATGAGGATGATAATGTTGGAGATAACGTTGTTGATGATGATTACGATGACGATGGCGATGATGATGACAGGGGTGATATAATGGGCTCCGATATGCCTCCGATATGCCCATGGGGGTGGCATTGGCGGTTTCAAGGATTACAAAATCTACCCGTCGGTCGCGTCGCGCAAGTGGCGTGTGCTGAAGAACGGGAACCGCGTCGATCAGGCGTACTCGCGGGCGGTGGACGGCCCTAGCGCGTGGGCCGCCCTCGCGCGCCAGCTGCGCAGCGGATGGTAGATCCGCGCGGTAGGCCCCAGCCAGTGTGGAAGGGGGAGGAGTAACGGAGGGGGAGGAGAAGGAACCAGACAACCACTCACTATTTTGAGGCCTCTCAGGCCGCTGTTGGGCGCTCGCATGTGTTTAGCTGTCAATTGCATGGGTTTGACGGATTGGGGAGGCTCTGCCCGCACATGCGCCCTGGTGAAAATGTGGAGTTCGATTTGAGTCTGAGTGTGATTTGAATCTGAATGCGAATTGCCATCGAATCCGAATTCGATCGAGTATGAATATGACTGAGTCTGAGGCAACACTTCTAGGGTCTGGAAACCCTGCGCAGCGGCTCGCCGTGCGCAGGGTGGGAGGGACAAGTTGAAATATACACGTTTGACTCAAACCGTTTGACCTAGTTGTATGACGAACGTTGAAAAGTTATGAAACGTTATGAAAAAAGTTATGAAAAAGTTGTGAACAATTGTCAAAAAGTTATGACAGTTATGAAAAATATATGAAAAGTTATGAAAAAGATATGAAAATATATAAAACGTTATGACGCTATAAGTTGAGTTATAATTATACTTATAGGCGTGACGCTAAACTTGACTAAACGTTTCTTACAAACCTGGTTATAAACGCCACAACCCCAAAATCGATGAAGTGCTTTCGGCGCCGGGTGCGCCGGGTGTCCCGGGTGCGCCGGGTGTCCCGGGTGTGTGTGTGCTGGGTGTGCCGGGTGTGCCGGGTGTCCGGGTGTTCCCGGCACGCCGGGTGTGCCGGGTGTGCCGGTTGTCCCGGGTGTCCCGGGTGTCCCGGGTGTGCCGGGTGCGCCGGGTGTCCCAATGGCACGCTCGCTGCGTGCTCTGGGCGGGTGTGCTGGCTGCCCCGGGAGCCCCGGGTGTGCCGGGTGTCCTGGTAGCTTGCAGGTGTTGCGCCGGGCGTTGAAGGGGTTTCGCATCTCCGCCGGCATGTTGGTGCGGGTGTAGCCGGGGGGCCCATGGAGTATGTAGCCCGGCTGTCCGGGTTTCCGCCCGTTGGTCCCGGGTTGTGTCCCGGGCTCTCCAGGGGGTCCCGGGTTGCCAACGGGCTGGGCGCCAGCTCACTGGGGTGACGGTGCGCCGGGTTGCCTCGGGTGGCGGGGTGTCCCGGGGTGCCGTGTGCGCCGGGATGCGCCGGGGGTGTCGGGGGTGCGCAGGGTGCCCCTGGGTGCGCGGAGTGCCGCCCCCGGTGGCCGTCCGGGTTTGTTCACGGGCTTTTTGCCCCCGGTGCGCCCGGGTTCTGTCCCGGGTGTGCCAGCTGCGCCGGGTGTCCCATGGGCAGGTGCGCCAGCTGCCCTGGGTGTGCTGGGTGCGCAGGGTGCCCCGGGTGTGCCGGGTGTCCCGGGTCTCCCGGGTGCGCCGGGTGCCCCGGGCGTGCCCCGCGGGTGTCCCGGGTGCGCCGGGTGCGCCGGGTGTTCCGGGTGTGCCGGGTGCGCCGGGCGAGCCCGGTGCGCCGGGTGCCCCGGGTGTGCCGGGTGCTTGGATGGCCGCGGCGGTTGCTAAGTACTTAACATACTTACTACGGTAAGTTAAGTACTTAGTAAGTAGTTAGCGGACTTAGCTAAGTACTTACTCAGTCATTACTAAGTGGCCCACT